GCGCCCGCTAATTAAGACTTCTCTGTTAGCAAGCTGAACTTCAATGAAATGATGGCAGGGAGCTAAGCTTCATTTTCATATTTACATTTAATCTAGATCAGTTTCTGATGTTTGGCCAATTGTGCAGGTTTAAAGTAGACATCCATGCTATTGGTTCATTCTGAACACACCAGGGACTCGTCCTTTGCTTTTTAGAAGCAATGTGTTAACAAATGTGTGAGTTTTAGAATTTTAAATTTTATTTATATGTATGTGCCTAAAGACCTTGATGATTAAACGGGAGTTGGCCAAAGATTCCGAGTTACGAACCCAGAGTTGGGAAAGATTTTTGCCACAATTCAAGCACAAAAATGTGAATAAACGCAGGGAACCAAAGAAGAAGAGTGTTAAGAAGGAGTACACGCCATTCCCTCCTCCACAGCCGGAAAGTCAGGTGGGTGTCGAGTGGTAAATGCCGGGACAGCCGAAACTGAATGGAATGTTACTGAGAGTTTAGGTTTGGTGTAGGTGTGCAGGCGTCAGGATGTGAGAACTTGACAGCAAGGGTCTGGGGAGTGATCATCACCTGTGGTAAACTGTTGGGGGCGGTGCCAGGCAGCCAGTGTTCTGTATGTAAAAGTAGCCCAGGGAGTTAACGTTTTGTAACCATATACTGAATCATTTCAAAAGTCTTAACTCTCATCCATTTGCTTCTAAATTATGTTTTGGTTTTTTTTTTTTTATCACTTTTTGCCTTCTTTCTGGCTCTTTCCCTTACACTCATGGCCGAGACTTCTGTTCCTTTCTTTCCCTTCTCTTTTTCATGTGCCCTTGTCTTTTAGCCACACCCTCCCAGCAAATCCTGAAAACTTAAAGTTTAGGCCAAGAATTTAAAGTGGAGAAAAGTCCTATCTTTGGATTAAAGTCATTAAAAATTCATGTGTCCAACCTCTGCTAGGCCTGTGTGGCAGTCCTTTGTGCCTCTTTTCAGCTCCCTCCAACACCTGACAGATACCAGATACTGACATTTTATGTGTTATAATATTTGAGGCCATCAGAAAAAATTCCTTTGGTCCCCTATCCCCCCATCAATTCTTTCTTCCTGCTTGGATTTCATCTATACTTACCTGGAATCTTGTTTTATTATTCTCTTCTTTGCCTGTACTGTAAAATATTCAGATTTTTACTAGGTTGTTTCCTGACAGGAACATCTTCTGTTCCTCACAGTCCTGTGTTGAGTTTCCAGGGACAGTCTAAAGGCCAGGGGTGGGAGGTATTAGAGAGAGTGAAGGTTATGGTGAGAAAATGGGAATGCCAGGAAGGGGACCTCCTCTGGGAATGGAGGAAAGTGCGACCAGATGGGAGATTGGAGCGGGGTGGAGTGCCAGTGGACCATGCTGTAGACTTCTACGATTTTGTGGGAAGGCCTGAAGTTAGGAATTGTGATGCCTCTGACTTTTCTCCCTCTCAAAGAGTGCTTTGGCTCCTTAAGATCTGTACTTCCATGTAGACTGTAGGCTTGCTTTTTCCATCTGTGAAGAATACTAACTGCATTGACTCCATATGTTGCAGTGGGTAGCATGGGCGTTCATCAGTAGTGACGCCTGGAATCTATTAACAGGGAAGAGGCTTTTATCTTTCTGTATTTCACTTTCATTAGTGTTTTATCATTTTCATTGCAGAGGTCTTACTTAACTTTCTAGTTGTGTATGAACATGTGTGCTCTAACGAGTATGATTGCTTCTAGTCTTGCCCAGCCTGCTGGTCATGTTTTCCAGGACAACCATGAATGTAGCCCCCTGCATTTATAGATGAGTCATGTTGTAATATGAAAAGATTGGGCAGCTTTGAACTTAGCAAATTGTTATAGGGGCGTAGAAAAGCTAATGGCTTTGTATGATGATTTTGTATCTTTTCCCAAATTCATTCATCAGTTCTAATACTGATGTATAGAGCCCTTAGCTTTTTCTAGATAATTAGATCTGTAAACAGATAATTTGATTTCCTGTTGGCCTTTTCTTTCCCAGTTGCTGTGGCTACAGCCTCTGGTGCTATGTTGAATAAAAGTGTTCAGAGTGGACATCTTTAGTTCTTGATCTTACAGAGCATTAAGTTTTCCGGTGTGCTGTTGACTCTGGGTCTCTCATTTATACCATTTATGTTGAATTTTATTAATCCTTTCGCTGTATCCCTTAAGGTGACTATGGATTTTGTGTTTCATTCTGCTTCGGTGTTCGCTGTCTCTGCAAATCTTGGTCTACTGGCCGTTCTTTCATCCATACCCCTGCAGAGGAGGAACATTCTCTCCCCTTGCTCAGTAGCCAAGATAGGTTTTTCTTGGTCTGCTGTTCTGGGCTTTTTAATATTATACTACTTCACTCTCTTGTGTTCATGCATTCACCCCAAAACAATGAATGCACCTGTTCCTTTGACTCTCTGTAGAGGGAAAGGCCAGGCACCTCCATTTGTCTGGCTTAGAAGTTTCTTGAAACAGCAGTGCCTCCTTGGACCTGATCTCATACCTTTCTATGACTGTGAGCAGCTTATTTTATCTGGCCTGTTTGTGGGTCGGTGTCCTTGTCGAGCTGTTAACGAGGGTTCAACTACAAGAATTAAGACAGTGACTTTGTGTTCCTTCTCTCCTTCCCTTTGAGACAGGGTCTAGCCCTGTCGCCCTGGTTGGCCTTGAGTTCTGTCCTCTCACCTTAGCCTCTCTGGGTGCTAGGACCAAAGGCTTGCTCAGCCTCACCTGGCTTGCATCCTTTTACTGTTCTTCTGTGCCATGGCTTCTATCCGTTCTAAGTCATTTTCCATCTTCTTGGAGTCTCAAGTTCCACCCCTCCGCCCCGAACCCATCTGATTCTCTCACTCTTTTCTGAAACCGAGTTGGTCCTACCTGAGTTAATGAGCTTGTTTCATGAGCAGCAGCTTCTGCCCTATCTCCACGCTTGTGTTCCCTCCTCTGTGACCAGCTAGTTAGTGATTCCACACTGTTAGCCCAGGACGCTGGGCTTATTGGGAAAGCACCTTCATCTGTATTATTTCTGATCTAACTGTGAACCCTGTCTCTGATAGATTGATAAAGAGCTGGCTAGTGGCGAGTACTTTCTCAAGGCGAAACAGAAGAAGCGGCAGAAGATGGAAGAAATCAAGGTAAGGCTCTAAGAGTTGCTCACAACATTCCCAGCAAAGTTTGGTACCACTCTTGTTTACTAACGTGTTTCTCCCTGGTGTAGGCCAAGCAAGCAGAAGCTCTTACAAAGAGGCAGGAAGAAAGAAACAAGGCGTTCATTCCACCTAAAGAAAAGCCGACTGTGAAGCCAAAAGAAGGTAAGTAACCCTACATGCTTGCCCATCTCAGACACCTAGGCAAAGTGGTGCATACTCAAGGCTTTTACATACCAGGTAGTGCCCCACAGCCTCTGCCCTGGGCTGGAAAGATGTAAATCGAGAGCCATCTGTTGCCTCTGTGAAGACAGAGCTGCCAGGCCTTCGCCAGCTGTGGCTTGGAAGCTGATTTCTGTGTCTTAAAAGTAAAGCCACAGGAACATCACGATCAGGTGGCTGGCCGCATTCTGATCCACCCTCTCCATTTTCTTTGCCTCTGGTGATGCTTGTCAGAGTGACCCTCCAAAGGCAACATTTATTGTAATTCTTACTGCAGTAATGCACTTGCTTCAGAGTGGAGGTCTAAAATGTCTGTACCTCCAGGACTGGAGCACTTTATCTTTTGATTCTCTTGTGGTTGGAAAACTGGAAGCTACCTTTATAAGAGAAAGTTACAGCCTTCTAAAATCGATTTCTGTATTTAGTTCAGCCTTTTGACACCTGCGCTACAGTTTGGCCTGTTAAGATCACCAGGTGTTTTCACATAACAAAATCACGTTAAATAAAATAAGTCTTGTTAAAATTACTGAAGCTAGAAGGACTATACTGAATACTTTTTATGGAATCCAATTCTAAATTATTAAATTATTTTGTGTGCAATATAGAAAATTATGACATACTAATGAATACTCAAGGAAAGGAGTTGACTAATTGAGTTCATTTATCTTGCCATTTCATCGGTATGATTTGTTTTCTCAAAGTTCTTAGGTCTCTTAAGGTGATCTCTTAATTGTTAAAAAAAATCATTTGAAATTTGCATATTTTCTTTTAAAATTTTGCAGCTCCTACTGAAACTAAGATTGATGTGGCGGCTATTAAGGAAAAGGTTAAGAAAGCAAAGGCCAAGAAACTGGGAGCTCTTACAGCAGAGGAAGTTAAGCTTAAGATGGAGGCCGACGAAAAGAAACAGAAGAGAAAAAAGTAACACTGGGAAAACCTGGAACTGAACTTTGAAAGGCGTTTCCTTTTGTAAAGGATTTTGAGACTGCTTTAGCTGCCTCATCTAACAGTGGTCATGCTGAGAAAGTCATGACCAGAGTGCTGTCTGTTCATGGACAGTCTTTGTAAATACGTTCATATGTATTCTAAAGTTTGTGTGAGACAATGATAGATACCGATGTACATTGTGCCCAATCAGTCTAGACATAACTCTTTTATATAGATTTTGGAACAAGATTATTGATCAAATCCAATGCCTGTTGCTGTTGGTTAGTCTTTGTAAACATACCCAAAGCATTTGGTTTTGAGGAAAATAAATGCAAGATTTCCACTGCTAATGGCAACTATTTTGGCTTCTTTCTGTAGTTTTATCCCAGGATAAAACAACCCACAAACAGAAAAGCCAAGACTCTAAATCAAATCTCTCCCTTTTAACTCTGAGGAAATGGTACCAGAAAAATGTCTATGGGTGTCTAATGTGCACGTGCCCACTGAGGCCAGGCCCTCCACAAGAGCAGCAAGTATTCTTCACTCTAAGTCCAATTGGCCTCATGGCTCAGAGGTTATCACAGATGTATTTTGCAGATCTGAACCCCAGGGAATATGTTTCTTGCTGAAAGCCTACCTGTGGCAACCTAGACAGTCCTTATTCCTAAAGAAGAGTTTACCTCTTTGTACATTTAGGAAAACAAGCAGTTTTTCTAAGGCTTCATTGAAACATTTTTCTCAAATGTTTTACAATAGCCACTTATAAGTTGCCTTCCAACGATGGCATTAGTAGTCCAAAAGAACTAAATTAGGGTATTTGTGCTTTACCAAAATGGTAATTATAACAGACAGTATGAGAAGTACTGCCTTAACAATGAGAAAGAGAGATGTGTATCTGTTCCGTAGATATATGGGCCTTTCTGGGTAGTCGCCAGCGTAGTAACCTGTGAAACAAACAGAGTGTGCTTTAGAGTTTCTCATGTGCTGACCCAGTCCACAGTGCCCAGTCAAACAGTTTAAAATTTGCATACGTACGTGAGACACCGTCTCTTCGCGGGTTAACTGTAAAAGCAGAATTTAAAGGTTAGGTTTTGATTTACATCTTGATAACCATGAACTTGATATGGCTTTAATTACAGTGATTGTGGTGGCTTGAAAGAAAATGGCTCCCAAAGGGGGTGGCATGAATAGGGGTTGTGGCTTTGTTGGAGGAAGTGTGTCACGGTGGGGGTGATATGGGATGTCCTTCTGTTATGTGTTGCTTTTATTGGTTAATAAGGAAGCTGCTTTGGCCTGTGTCAGGGCAGAATAGAGCTAAACTCTGGAAAAGTAAACTGAATACTGGGGGGAAAGTAGGTGGAGTCAGTGAGATGCCATGGAGCAGCTGCCAAAGGAGACACACACCCTAGAGCCTTGTGGGTTACTTTAAGATGTAAGAGCTAGCTAGGAATACGCTAGAGTCATTGGCCAAGCAGTGTTGCAAATAATACAATTTCTATGTGGTTATTTTGGGTCTTGGCCAACAGTGGGAGTGGGCTTTGAGGTCTCCTATGCTGAAGCTACTCCTGGTGTCAAAGACCATTTCCTGTTCTCTTCTGGTCAAGATGGAGCTAGCACCATGTCTGCTTATATGCCACCATGCTCCACACCATGATAATAATGGACTGAACCTCTGAAACTGTAAGTGAGCCACCCCAATTAAACGTTTTTCTTATAGAGTTGCTGTGGTCATGGTGTCCTTTCACAACAATAGAAACCCTAAGACTGATTTTCAAAAGTCAACCAATTTTTTCTATTAATTGTCAACTTCTTCAGTTCATATAAAAAGACTGAAAAAATATGTGAATGTTTGTGTTCTGCCACAGTTAATGGAAAAAATATTTAACATGCCACAGCCACCAGATGAATCTTATTTTTGGGGGGCTATGGTTGAAACTAAAGGTTAAAGCAGGTTGTTTTAAATGATGCAATTAGAGTTACTTCCTAAGCCCCTCCCCAAGAAGAATGATAGATCCTGTTTATGATCCAATGCAGTAGGGCATCTGACTTAAAGAGACATGACTATGACTTTTGCTGAGCTCCAGACTTTTATACTCAGCACTGGGAAAGAAAAGTGCCCTAATTGCTTTGGCATTCTAGAAGCTTTCCTCTACATCCCAGGCTATTAAATGCCTGGATGGATCCATCTGAAATTTCCTCGGGGCACACGCCATCGCCTCTCCTCTCTCTGGCCATCTTACCTGAGCCGCCACTACCCTGACATCTCCTGACACCTATACCCATGAACTTGCTGCTTGTTCTAGTTTTTCCCCTGTGCATCTGCAGAGTTGTCGGTCGATTTTCAACTACAGAAACAAATGGACATCCATGCCCTGGCTAAAACCACCTGATGCGTGACAGGCATGTTCAGGCATTCACACGGTAGTCTTGCATAATGAATGGTAAACAGTGGATTTTATTTCCTCATCTAATACTATAATATGTCCATTAGGTTAAATAAAATTGTAAGCAATTTTTACCCTCTCAAACCTCACAGTCAAAGTGATAGTTTTTCTTTTTTCCAGTTGGAAACACTCTTATTCAGTATGGGTACAGAAGAAGTGGGGTGCTTCCAAACAGGCCATCATTTCCATTTAAAAAAGTGTAGAAATTAAACTTTGTAAATAGATGAGTGACAGACTAGAGGTTAAATCATCTAAACTAAATGGTCTTGTTATGTAGCATGCAAGTTTGTGTGTCTTTCTCTCTTGAGCCCAAGGATTTTTGTTGTTGGACTACAGCCCTAATCTGTTTTATCAACCTTAGACACCCGTCTCAAGTTAGAGCTCCAGAAGTTCTGATATCAGTAACATTTCGTAGGGTGGCAGATTTGGAGATAGAGGGAGGTAATCATCAGTGAGCTATCTGGTGGTAGTGTTGTTTTACTATTGAGGAAATGGGTACACAGTGACGGTCAGGATCTCAGAGCTAGAACTGTACACATTAGACTGGCACATTTAGCACCGTGGTTCTGAGAAGAACTTAACTGCACATGGGTGTGTGTGACAAAGTTTCCTAGTGAGGCTGCTGCTATGTATGAGTAAGATAATAATGCATTAGGAGAAAAGAGTCAGGTGCGTATTTCATACCTGAAAAGGCCAGTGTTTAAATGGGGGGAAAGGCGAGCAGTTTACCAAATTTAGGTCTGGAAGGAACCTTGGGAAATGCAGTGAGAGAATTATGCTTATCTTAATTCTTTTGTTTTTGTTTTTTTTTTTGAGTTTGGTTTTTTTATTTTTTTCTTGTTTTTTGTTTTTCATAATTTGCTAAGGCTATTCACTCTTTGTATTGTTTGCCCTTTTAGAGCCTCTTTTGAGAAATTTTTTTTAATGAATAAAAAAGCAATTTCCAACTGTAAAACACACACACACACACACACACACACACACACACACACACATTTCCTAACAGGTTTCATACAGTGAAGCTTGGGCTACCAGCCCGCCTCCCTCCTGAGCACCCCCTATCCTGACCTTGCAGCCATGAAACAGTTTGTCACAGATATTACACAAAAGAACCATGGGGTTGGCATAACTGTGGTAGCTTTAGATTCCTTTCAGACTGTGGGACAATGGACATCTTAAAGGACACTACCTTAAGCTTATGTGTGGTCCTAGAACTGTAAGCTATTGGCTTGTTACTGGTCTCTAGAAAATAGCTACCAAGATAAAACAAATACCTATACCTTAATTCTATGGTGAGATTTTGTTGTTATCTTACTTACTGCAGAGATTGTTGAGACACCTGTCATCTTTTGGGCAATCACTGCAAGTGGTTCCTTGCTTGTATGGCCACGTTGGGTAATTTCCTCTGTGAAGCAGAAGACAGTTAGTTAGTGGGGGCCCTTGACACAATTGTGCTTTACTCTGAATACCTGACCAAGTCCAGAATAAGATGAAGGAAGATTCAGGAGGCTAATAAAATGCATAGAGACAGAAGCAAGTGGAAGTCTGCTAATATTTGGAGGGTGAATAATTTATACCATCTAACTATAGTCACTCTGAGAATGAATTAGCTTTGTTTCTGTTTAGCAGGTAAGGAAACTGAAGATCTGAGAGATTAATAACTCCCCCCAAAATCTCAGATTATATATATGAGTCAGGAGGAAATCTAGAAGTGTCTTATGTTGGAATTTTTTTCTACTTAACCCAAAGCCTCTATGATTACTTCCATCAAACACTGCCTATCCTAGAAAAACAATTCAACATTCTCTATATTTTTAGTGTACCAGGTCACTATAGTTTGTAGTAGATACACTATGGGGCTGGGTAATGAACGCCAAAAGAAAACGATGGGGAAATTAGAAATAATTCATTTGCATATAAACAATTATGTGAATAGTAACTGATAATTACTGTGATAAAAGAGCTAAGGTGTGGGGGAGAGCTCTGGAAAATGCCTGCCATGCAACCACAAAGACCCCATGTTCATTCCCCAACTTTTTCTAAAACGCCAAGAGTCATACTTACAGTGCTTGTTTGAAGTGCTAGCTTTAGAGAGTTAGGCAGGTGGGTCTCTGGAACTCACTGATTGACCAGCGAGCCCCAGGTCCCAGTGAATAATATCATGGAGAGATGGTTCAGTGGTTATGAGCCCCTGCTCCTTCAGAGGACCTGGGTTCAGTTCCTAGCACCCACATGTTGCTTCACAGAACAATCCATGACTCCTGACCTTGGTTCCAAAGGATCCGACACCCTCTTCTGACTCTGAAGGCACCAGGTACACATATGGTGCATACAGAAACGTGCAAGTAAACCAAACGCATGAACAAATCTAAATTAAAAACCAGGCATACCAACGCATACATGTGTACCTGTACTCATGTGCATCTGTACCTCCCACACCAACACACATGTGTGCCTGCACATGTACACCTGTACCCTCACAACAACATACATGTGTGCCTGCACACATGCATCTCTACTCCCACATCATACATGTGTGCCTGCACACATGTGCATTGTACCCCCACATCAACAAACATGAGCACCTGCACACATGTGCATCTGTACCCCCGCCCAACACCATTGTTTTTGTAATTCCTAGAACCAAGCAGTAAAATATCTATTTCTGGTCTGTCTACAGGCTTCTGAGTGTGTATGACTCACAAGCACAGTAAAGTAGAATTGCTTTTCTTGTTGCCAGAGGGGACAAACTGTTTCCACTGGAAAAACTCAACCAGCAAAAGTAATATGAACTGAGCAATTCCACCTTATTTTTTTGTTTAAGTGTGGGAAGTAGTCTATGATTTTAATAAAATAAGTTAATATCAATCCTCCTTTCCTATATTATCAATATATCAATTTATGTCCCTGGTAAGCATTTTAATCTTGCTACTCTTAAAGATGAAGGCCTTCGTAGTGTTAATAAAGCTCACACAAGGACAGGGAAAATGTATTAGAATATTAATGAAGTGTGTCTCCGGGTAGAGAATTTAAAGGCCTTACGATTTTTCTTTATACATTTTCTATATTGAAGATGCATACCTGCAGTAATACACTTTTAGAATTTAATTCAGGCACTTACGCTGGTCCATAGTTGCATATAAAATGTGCTCCATTGGAAAGCCTTTCGAAGTTACCAACTCTAGGGCAAAATTGCACCGCACAGCCAACCTTGTAACTATCTGCCCAAACAACCTGAAAGTACAAGAGAGCGTCTTAGCATAGAAATGAACAATTGATTATCGTCAGGGCTTCGTAATTATGGGAAGGAACTCTAATTAGGAGTACAACATTCTTTACCAGGGAAACTTTTAGGTGCTCAAAGTTCCAATGAATACTCTGAGCCAGAAGCTCTCAATTGCGGTCACAACCTCTTTGGGGTTACATTTCAGATATCCTACATATTGTACATTTATATTATGATTTATAGAAGTAGCAAAATTACAGTTATGAAGCAGCAATTAAAATAATTTTATGCTTGGGGGTCACTACAACCCAAGGAACTGTATTAAAGGGTCGCAGTATTAAGAAGGTTGAGAACCACTGTTCTAAGCCATGCTTCCTACCTACAAGAAGCTATAGCAATGAAATAAAAACAGTAACCTGACGGAGTGAAGAAAGCACCTGATTCGAAGGGGTGTTGAGGGGAGACCTCCGAAATGGCTTTTGAGGTGAGACGCAAGTGATGAGGATGTGGACTGAGAACAAACATAGAAGACATGAATGGACAACATCCATTCTCAGAGATAAATGTTCCTGGGGTGCAAGTCCCTAGACATGTTAGAGTTGCAGGGGGATAAAATAGCAAAGTGGAGGCTCAAGAGAGGACCAAACCAAAGGAATTCTGTTAAGTAACAAAATCCTCTTTCTGGTTATCTTAGCAAGGTCCACTCGGTGCTTAGGAAGTGAACTGAGGAGAGCAAGGGAAGGAAGAGGCAATTCTGGAGGCTGTATCTGCGTGTGAAGAATGAACACGTGCTGGGCCGTGGTGGTGCATGCCTTTAATTCCAGCATAGGACAGGCTCCATCGCTACAGAGAAACCCTGTCTCAAAGAAAAGAACAAAAGGAAAAGGAAGGAAGGAAAGAGAGAGAAAGGAAAGAAAAAGAAAGGAAAGAAAAAGAAAGAAAGAGAAAGAAAAGGACATAAGGCAACTTTTGTAATGAAATTCCTAGAAACTGATAGAGGTCACGTCTGACAGGTATAACTGAAAACATTTTGTTTTAAGTATGGGAGGCATTTGGGTTTGGGACCTAAGTGATGTTGAGACAGAAAACTAGGGAATAATCAAGGTGGGTAGGAGCGTGGGCACAGGGTTCTGTTCAGAACATGTTTGGAGCTGCTCAGTAAAGGCTGGCAGAGCTGCTGGCCTTAAACATCTGCAGTTCAGAGGATGGGTTAGCAACAGAGCTAGAAAACTAGAGGACCCAAGGTTAAATCAGACCATATAGGCAAGGAAAAAAACGGGGTGACTGCAAACCTGGGTTAAGGAAATACAGTCACTAAACAGATGTAAAATGGGGTCCCTGATGTAGAGGACATGGAGAACAGAGCTGGTTCCCAAGGAGACAGCTGTGTTGTCAAACTGGGTCTTGAGCTCACAAGCGCTCTAGACTAAGTTTAAATCAATATGCTACTGCGTAGTTAGCACTTCAGTGGTCCTCTCTCTCTCTCTCTCTCTCTCTCTCTCTCTCTGTCTCGGTTTTTCAAGACAGGGTTTCTCTGTGTAACAGTTGTGGCTGTCTTGAAACTCTGTAGACCAGGCTGGCCTCGAACTCACAGAGATTCACCTGCCTTTGCCTCCCGAGTGCTGGATTAAAGGCATGCACCACCACCGCCCGGCTCTTTCCACCTCTTCATTTCTCACCTATTCCCGTAAATCATGTGGCTCATCTTGGCTAAGAATGAGCAGTATCAAAAATTGCCAAAAACATTGGAGAACCTAACTAGCTCTTAAAGACAAACCAACCATCTATACAAAACTATACTTTGAAATTAACTTTTTGCCATAATTATCAAGCCATTTTTGTGCCAAGGATTGTGCCAAATATGTGGGCACAGTGGACACCTGGGGCCTGCAGACAGAGGCCTTCACGGAACTGTTCCATAGAGCTCTGTTCACTATTACTGGTTCTGATACATGGGCTAGGACAATTCTTCTCAGGAAGTGGAGCTGACCTGGAACTTCTTTGGGGGCCACAGATATGTCTTTAAACATGGAGCAGAGTCCTCTGCGAGCCCAGGGTGGAGGAGAGTCATCCACAGAACTACAGCAGTGGCCAGTCTGTTTACCTTAGGAAATTACATTATCACTCCCCAAGGAAAGAGTAGAGGGAGGGGAAAAGCGAGCCTGGGATGGAATCTGAAATCACCTAGGGTCTTCAGGTGGGGCAAGGGATGCAGTCATGTGGGTCAGAATGCCTGCCTTTTGCAGACTTTCCCTAGCATGGGGAGCTGGAAGAACCTAGAAAGGGTGTTCCTAGAATCTCAGAGACCAGGAGCTGTTCCCTCCTTTGTCTAGAGACAGTCCCTTCTCCATGACTGAAAAGGAATGCTCCCTGAGGAACAGATCTCTTAGAACCTGAAGCTAAGAGTCCAATGCAAGGCGCTCCAGTCTTGACAGGAAGTGAAATGCCTTGGACGTCTGTGTTGAGACATTAAAACTTTGTTGTGTTGTGGAATGTGATTTTAAGGTGTGCTGTATTCGCTTATGCTGTGGAGTATTTGTTTAATGATGCAAAGATGCATTCATTTAACTCTGGAGCTGTGTTTCTTTGCCTGATTGGTCTAATAAAAGAACTGAATGAACAATACAATAGTAAAGCAGGAGGAAGGATAGGCAAGGCTGGCAGACAGAATAAATATGAGAAATCTGGAGCGAATAAATAGAAGGAAAGAGGCGCAAGAAAAGGAGGAGGACATCAGGGGCCAGCTACATAGCAAGAAGAGAGAGAAAAGATACAGAGATAGATAAAATCTTAGAGGCAAAAGACGGGACAATTTAAATTAAGAAAAGCTGGGTAGAGGCCAGGTGGTGGTAGTGCTCGCCTTTAATCCCAGCACTCTGCAGGCAGAGGCAGGTGATCTCTGAGTTGGAGGCCAGCGTGGTCTACAGAGCGAGTTCCAGGGCAGGCTCCAAAGCTACAGAGAAACCCTTCCTTGAAAAGAAAAAAGCTGGCCAGAAGCAAGCCAAGCTAAGGCTGGGCATTTCTAAGTCACAACAAGCCTTTGTGTGTGATTTATTGGAGAGCTGGTGGCAGGCCCCCAAAGAGTAAAGAGCAAAAAATCAACTACATTTTTGGGCCAATGTGACCCTTGTACTTAACTTCCCAATCACTTCTGTTTTATTCTGAAATTTTCAATTTTATTCATTTCATTGGTGACTTGTTTTATCTGAGACGTTCTGAGGTAAAGAATTCTGTGCCCACAGCAGACTTACAAAGTGAGAAACACTGGTGTTCTCACACAATTCCATTTCAACTCTATTTCAACAGCTCCCTTCCTCATGCCAGGAGTCCATGTTACCGTTCCTGCCTGTTACCTTAGCTCTCTCGGCATTTTGTTTAATCTTAGTCTTTCGGCACTTTTTTCCATAGTGTTTCCAGATTTCCTTCATCTTTGGATGTGGTTTTTCAGAAATGTGCAAATATTGCTTAGCATGCATGGTATGCTTTAGTTAGTATGTTAGCTGCCAATCACTGATGCAACATTTCAGAGGGAAGGCATGTTCCAAGGCCATGATCTCAGGGTGTTCCAGGTCATGATCTCAGGATGTTCTAGGTCATGATCTCAGAGGGTTTCTAGGTCATGATCTCAGGGGGTTCTAGACTGTGATCTCAGGGAGGGGTTCTAGGCCATGATCTCAGAGAGGGGGTTCTAGGTCATGATCTCAGGGGGTTCTAGGCCGTGATCTCAGGGAGGGGTTCTAGGCCATGATCTCAGCGAGGGGGTTCTAGGTCATGATCTCAGGGGGTTCTTGATCATGATCTCAGGATGTGGTCAGTTGTCATCATTAACTTTAGGTCTGTGTTGAGAGTTATAGAAACTAGTCACACCTTGTGGTGTTCACTTAATCAAAGAGAAAAGAGGGTAAAGTCCCTATATCCCTTTCAAGTGAACACCCCTATCTTCCCTTGCCTGAACCCACCTAAGTAAAGCTTTCACTAACTCCCTACAGTGCTTCAGGCCTTTAGGAGACCTTGATGATCTCAACCCTAACAGATTTCAAAGTTGGGTTAACTGGATATGGTACTTCACACCTGTAATCCCAGCACTTGGGAAGCTGAAACAGGAAGCTCACTGTGAGTTCAAGGCCCACCTGGGCTACACAGTGAATCTCAGGCCAGTCTGGGCCATAGAGTTGGTCCTGTTGTCAGCTTTACCTAAGAGTCAAAGGAGCAAGCCAGGGTCACAGTGTCAGGGAAGGAATCTGAAACTCAGATCCAAATTGAATCTGGAACTTTCCCCCTAGTGAATCCTTTAAACAAAAATGGGAAGTTGCTAGCCTTATCTCCAGTGAGTATACAGGTAAAATGTTGAATTAGTGTGTCAAGAAATACTGTACTGTTCACAGAGAGATACTCAATCTGAACTCATGCCCCATACTCTGTACCAGCTATCATTGGGCAACAGATATAAACATTATTTGCATAAAGATGAGGTAAGGAGAGGTTACAATCCCCAACTTAGGTAACTTTCCAGCAGGAGGTTTAAGTGACTGAATTGTCCTAAAACCCACAGCACGGTCTCTTCGAAGGCTGAAGCAGGAATTGTAGCCAAGATATAGCAGCATCCTCTTCCATCGTGATTTGTTAGAAAATTAGATCCTAATGGCTAATCTTTGCTAAGTGCTTACCAACAAGTGCTGGCCCAGATTCCTCCACATCACCCTCTGAGAAATTAACTTATGGGACCATACTTTAGTGAGTTGCAGTCTCAGAGATATGAGTCAAGAGAAACAGGAGTGAGGCAGGAAAGGCAGGATACGGTTGGAAATGGTTTCTGGCGCCCAGGCTAGCTCCCTCTGATTTGGGGAGACACATGTGTGCATGAATAGTACAATTCAAGACAATGGACACAGGCCTTGTGCACAAAGAAAACACAAACTATATAGCCAAGGGCCCGCACAGTGTACCACACTGCAAGAGATGTATGACTTGCCTCTTAAAAAGTGGAATTTGTCAAATGAAAAGAAAGGCTTTAGGATCAATTAACCAGGTATGGAAGGTGTACAATGTATATGAATAAGCCTGTTGCTTTAGTAGAATTTTAAGTAACTGAGCATGCAAAATACATGGCCCTCGGAAGATGACTCACTTTATAAGACTTGTAAGCCATACTTGTATCCCCTCATCTCAGGGAGTCACAATAAGGAGTAAAGTCAGGTTCATGTCATATAGACTTGAGGCAGTGAAAACTTCCCTAAAAAGTCTCCCTTTACATCCATGGGGAAAAGGAGGGCTTGTACTTGGGACACGAGAAAACTGACTTCCAAAATCATATCTATCTCTCATATAGATATGAGATCAAATTAGTGGTCCTAACCTCTTCAGGAGAGGATGTGACTCTCGACAACCATTTTATAAGTGAGCAGGGGCTTTACACCTTCCTAAGCCGATAGTCTCGTTCAGTTCTTACCACAAGCACAGAAGGGAGGTTCTACCATCCATATGTCAACCAAGCATCAAAAGATTGAGTTAGAGAGCTTACGGTGCTTCCCTAAAGCCACTTAGCTAACGAGGAGAGTTCAGATTTGTTGATCAGAGACATTGCAAGGCTTTAAGTCACATAACATGCAGGCTATCTCATATGGGTGTCTCATACTGCCTGAGCTGATGGCTCTTGCATATGACCTTATCCATGTAACTAATTCTCCAAGGACACTTTCCTCTCATATTTATAATCCTACTAGCTCACTATCTATTTTCCAACTCCACATTCAGTTTTCTACCTTTAAGAAGGTAATTCTAAGAGGCTATAGGGATGTACTTACCTGAGTGTAATGGCCACAGACACCCGTGCATCTCCTAGTCCTAAAGTCATAGTCCTTGACTTCATTGTACCAGGATGAGATGGCTGAAGATACTGAAAAGAGGCTTAAAGATCCAGTCCAGATATTTTCTCCCACTGCGGTGAAGTTCGGGTGCAGCCGTGATTTCAGCCGTGGGTTGTGTTCAAACTGGCAAACTTTTGCCCATGATTTTGCAATGCGGGCTAGTTCTGAGTCCCAAGACTGAAAAATAATTAATGATATAGGAGTCAAGAAAAAAAAAAAACTCCTCTTCAAAACTGTGACAATGCAAGGCCTTTTGCCCGCTCATCCAGATGTGCAGAGCCCATTGGATACTATTTACTTTGTCACCCGGTTCTGCTTCCTTTTGGAGTGGGAGTCAAAGCGGCAAATGGAAAGGCAGTGAGAACTGCGGAGGAGCTACAACCTAGAGTAACTAGTCTCAACCTGCTAACTTGGGCAAGAATACAAAGTCATCAGGTCAGAGAACACGACTAGGAGAGGAGAAGCAGAAACATCCATGTCTGCAGGCGACATGGACTGACAACCAGACACACTAAAAGCTGGAAAAGCCCAGTGAGGTAGCAGGACAAACAGAATAGCAAGCTACCCTGTGGTAGCTTCTGTAGGAAGTAGTAATGAACTTGCTAAACAACAAAACAAAAAAAGAAACCTCCAGAATAGTTCCAGTTATTCTGGTTGTCCACTGACAATAAAATATGTAGGAATCAACCTTATCATGAGGGTGAAAGACATCTACAATAAGAACCCAACACTGAAGACAGATACTATAGAAGACACCAGAGTGATGGTTCTCCACCTGGGGGTCATGACCCCTTTGAGGGTGAAGGACCCCTTCACAGGGGTAGCATATCAGATATTTACATTCTGATTCATAACAGTAGCAAAACTACAGTTATGAAGCAGCAATGAAGACAATTTTATGGTTGGGGGTCACCGCGGCACGAGGAACTGTATTGAAGGGTCACGGCGTTAGGAAGGTTGAGAACCCCGGCACTAGAGAGTGGGAAAGTTGTTCCTGCTCATGAATTTTTTTTTTATATTTTCAAATGGCAGTACTGATGAAAGATGTTTACAGATTCACTTCACTGCTAATGCTTCCTTCCTAAAGCTAGAAAGAAGAAAATCAGAAGTTAACACAGAAACACAAGAGACTCCATATGCCAAAGGACTTCTGAGCAAAAGTATTGCCGCTAGAGGAATCATCACTCTGGACTTCAAAAATATAAAGTGTGGTCAGAAAACAGTCTACTGGAAGAGGACACTAGGCAAATGGTGTCTGGCTGGGGAAACTGGATACGCATGCACACATGGAAGCATGAACCTGGTTTCTTCCGGTGTGTAACATACCAAGTCAGAATGTGTTACAAAAAACCTTAAGTTGAGACCTGAAACTACCACAGCCAATGCCTCAGTTTCGCTTCCTCTTTTTCTATCTGGAGCTTTTCTTTCTTTTTTGACTAATTGCTTTGGCTAAGATTTCAGTATATGAGGCATAGGCAAGAATTTTCTGAGTAGGGCTCATGCCAATGAGACTGCATCAGTTAAAAACCATAGGCACAGTGGTGGCACTACCAGAGCCAAGTGACCTCCTAAAGGAGGGCAGAGAAATTGAGTGTGATGGTACATGCCTTTAATTACAACACTGATGGTGGGATGCAGAGCATCCGGCTGATCTCATCTACATATCAAGTTCCAGGCTAGCCAGGACTGGTGAGAGTGTATCTCAAAAAGATAAAAGGCAGAAAATATTTTCCAGATACTCATCCGCCAATGGATTACATCTCCAAAACATTTGAAGAACTAAAGGTGTTGAACACGAACAGAATGAAAAAGCCAACAGCCAGCAGACAGCTGAACTGAACAGAGTCCTCAAAGGAAGTGTAGGTCAACATCCTTAGCCATTAGCGGTATGCAAACGGAAAGCACAGTAAGAACACATCTTACCTTAGTCAGTACAACATCTAATTCAGAAAATAAACGGCATCAAAGACGTGGGTGGAGAAAAGCCCTAATAGGAACACAAACTAGTTCAGCCACTGTGGGAATCAATATATAGGGTCACCAAAAAATATAGATGAATACTATCATGTGATTCAGCTATAGCATTTTTGGGCATAGCTACAGGAATCTACACTTTAGAGATATCTGCATATCCATGTCTATTGTGGTACTATTGACAATATCCAAGCTCTGGATCACAACTGATTGTTCACAAATAGATGAAGGGATGAGCGAAGTATGTGTATGTGTGTATTTCTATACATACCGTGGAGTATTGTTGAGTCAAAGTTATGACATTTGCAGGAAAATGGATGGATTGGAGATCACCATGTTAAGTGAAATAGAGCAGATTCCGAAGAGGCACAGGATCAGAGGGCCAGAGGACCAAAAGGCAAAAGGGCAATAGGAGGAATATAATCAAAGCACGTTGTAAGAAATTATCATAATAAATCCACCATTATTTTATACAGAACATGATAAAAAGAAAAACAGTCCTTAAGACACAGAAAGAACCATCACACATACTAACAGGCAAAGAAGTGGCAGAAAGGAGAAGTCTATGGCTCGTGGCTGGCGAAAGGGAAGTATCCAGAAAGAACTGGACCATGCCGCCTGTGGCATTGCTTAAGACAGAGTTGGAGGGAGGGATCCATTGTGTGGGTTCCAATCATACACCAAGTGAACTGCACACAGTAATCACAAGCAAAACAACAATAACAACAACAAAAAACATTCGGGATTACCCAGAATTCACACCCAGTTTAGCACAGGCAGGCTGCCTCTGATGGACGCGTGCCCAAAACACTGTTCTCACACTCACCATGTACATCATGTTCCTGGCTGTCGGATTCACTTGGGCCCGGTGCTGGTTGTGGATTTGCACACATTGTTGGATGAAATCCTCATTGGTTATATCTGGCAAAGTACTTGCGGTATATGAAGAACTAGAAACGGAAGAAGCCATCCAGACCAGTATTGCAAGGGTGGCCTGCATGATGCCTCTGGCTGTGGTTGGACTTAGAACCCAGAGCCCCCGGGGTTCTGATAGAATGCTCTCAGTTTTCAGACTTTTTTTTTTTCTGTGCTGGAAGGTTGAACCCAGGGTCGATTGTGTTGGGCAAGGTCTCTGCCCCTGAGCTACATCTTCAGCACTCTGCTTCTTTGAGACCAGCCTCACCAAGCACAGTTGACCTCAGCTGGAGAAGTCGGAAAGCAGAACGTTGAGTCGTTATGAAACTCACGAGCTGGATTTCTCCATATATGGCTTGCAGCTCAGTTTGTCGTTAACCCCGTCCCGTCGGTGCTTCTGGGTGACACAGCACCTACAAAACACAGATTCTTGTGAGGCGGCATCAAGCTTTGAGCTGAGGTATTTCCAAAGGAATTTCTGTGGGCTCCAGAAATAAGTCACGTGTTAGTCAGGCTTCTTGAAAGGAAGAGAAATGACAGACTATACGTATTCACTGGGGATCTGTTACTCTGGCTTAGAGGATGTGGCCTGAGGGGTCCGACAATGGTTGACTCATGCCAGTCAAAGCAAGACGCTGGTAGCCTCTGAGGCGGGATGTCACAGCAGTCAAATTCTGGAATTGGCGACCTGGAGGATTCCTGAAGAGCTGCTGGCTTTCAGTCTACACTGGACTCCTGAAGAAGCCGCGTTTAACACCAACCACAACAGGAAATGAAGGAACTTACCAGTCAAGAGGGGAGGCAAGCAAACCAAAAGCAACTTTCTTCCTGGGTCCCCTTTTAAAAATGTGAGCTAGCACCAGAAGGCAGAAGGCGTGGCTCAGATTTAGAGTGGGTCGTCCTGCTACAAATGATCTGATTAAGAAAAGTCCCCTCAGGAGTGCCCAGCGGCTTAGGTTTTTGTTGATTCCAGATGTAGTCAATTTGACTGGCAAGATTACCATTACGAATCTCTACCAAAGGACTTGCAAATGTTTTTTTTGCAAAACCTTTTTTTGTTGGATTCCTCTGTGCAAAACAGTGGTGGGAATACAGTGACCCCTGCTTTATCAGTGTCTGAATGAGCGCTGCGAATAGACACTTTCCTATCCAGACATAGTGGTAAAGTCCAAGTTACAAGGCATGCACAGTTAAGAGATAACAGTAATGATAATAAACTCAAACAAGTAAGGGTATTTACCGATAAACTTGTCAGCATCACCACTATATGCATTGAGACCATTATTAAGTAAAATAAAGGTTTCTAGGACATGGACAACAATACCTAAAATTTATCGGGGGAAAAAAAAACCCTGTTTTGTTATTAAAACAGTTACTAAGTGACCAATAACTAATGACAAAAATGATAGTATGTATATACTGGACTAAGGTGGGGTGACTTTCAGCACAGAAAGCAAATTCAGTGCCAAATTTAATGGTGGCTTGAACACCCCCCTTGCACACATGCAGCTCCCAGGCCTTTTTATCTTGAAACTTGCCCCCGCTTGCTTTCTTTCCATTGCTGGGACCAAACATGGGGCAGAATAACTTGTGGGAGGAAAGGGTTCATACTGTGGTTAAGGCTTTGTGCAGAATTCAAAAGTAGAATTGTGAAACACGTACACACACAGGCGCGCTTGGTGAAGGAGGCAGGGAGGAAGCGGTGGGGGGGGGCGTCGTATGAGTTTCATTCTGTAGCGAGGAGCAACTAGCTGTGTGACCTGCAACAGCTTAGCACACTCCTTAAGTTCTTAGAAACCTAAGAACTTTCACACCACACCCAATTAGTGAGGACTGAAGCACTATGCCGGAGGCAGGAACAGAAGCAGAGACTAAGAAGAAAGGCTATTTACTGCCTTGCTCGGCTTACTTTCTTATAGTCCCCAGGACCACAATGGGCTGCATCCTCCCATGTCAGTTGTGAATCAAAACTATGCTCCATGGGCTTGCTAATGGCTGGTCTGATGGATCCATTCTTTACCGGAGGGTTCTTCTCCCCGGTGAGTCCAGTTCCTGTCAAGTTGACAAAAACACTGTCAGCGCAATACCGAAATGATTCTTGCTTTCGGTCTTTGCCACAGTGGTGTTTTAGCAAATTCTGTTTCTAATTTTCTGCATTTTTATTGATTACTTGTTTTCTTACAGTGGAAACACACTATCTATTGTAATAAGAAAACAACCGTTATTCTGGAGAGTCATATGCAAATTAACACAGACACGGCATGGTAGACCTGCACACACATGAAAGGGTATTAGTACCCTCCTGTATCATAACTGTCACTGCAAGAGAGGGTGGAGGAGAAATGACATAAGGATCCATTTCACTCTTACCCTCTCTAATTAGATTCTGGAAAGCCCTGGGCTTCACAAGCCTCCAGCACACTGATTCTCAGCCTATGGGTTGCGATCTCCAGGGTGGGGGGTGGTTTGACAAACCAAAGGGTCAAAAGGTGGTTTGACCCTTTCACAGGGTTTCCTAACACCATCAGAAAAACACATTTATATTATGAGTCAAAGCAGTAGTAAAATTAGTTATAAAATAGCAATGGAAATAATTTTATGTTGGGGAGGGGTCACCACAGCATGAGGAACTGTGTCCAAGGATGGCAGCCATCAGGAAGGTCGAGAACCACTGCTCTAGAGAGAGAGACTCTTTCTTCAGCTCCCACGTTCAGTCAGTCACCACTGTTTCAAGCTGGGCAGTTCGTCTTTGTAACCAGGAATTCCAACTTTGGGGGTGTTCCCGTATGATGTAAGGTCTTACTCTCTAGCCTAGGCTGGCCTCAAATTTGTGATCCTCCTGCCTCAGCATCTCAAGGGCTGAGATTACAGGCACGAGCTACCACACCTGGCTTCCATCTTTTCTTTCGAGACAGGGTCTCTAGTTTGTAGCCCTGGTTGTCCTGGAATTTACTAAACAGACCAGACTGGTCTCGAACTCACGGAGGTTCACCCACCTCTGCCTCCCCAGTACTGGGATTAAAGGTGTGAGTTACCGTACCCAGCAAGATTCTCTGGCATACTGCTGCTAATTCAGTCATATGTGTGTATGCACATTGGAACACATATCTGTGTGTTTTGAAAAATACAATTTAAGCATTCAGAGGTTTCATGGAGGCCATAATTTTATGCATTTTGTATCATTTTTTCATAGCCATAGTTTAAGAATGCTATTGGTTATAATAACTCTTTATAAATACTTCATGAACTCTATTCTCTGCAGATGAATGCACCATAGTTTGTGTACTATTATATATATATACATGCATATAAGTATTCAGATTCTTTTAAGTTTTTTCACAAAATGCTGTAGAAATCTTTAGGGAGGGCTGGAGAGATGGCTCAGCAGTTAAGAGCATTGCCTGCTCTTCCAAAGGTCCTGAGTTCAATTCCTAGCAGCCACATGGTGGCTCACAACCATCTGTAATGAGGTCTGGTGCCCTCTTCTGGCCTTCAGGCATACACGCAGAAAAAATATTGTATACATAATAAATAAATAAATAAATATTTTTTTTAAAAAAAATCTTTAGGGAGAGTCATGTGAAATTACCTTTAGAACTTAAACTAATTTATATTATTAGTGTGTGCCTATCAGGATGGCATCTTCATAGACAATAGATACTTATGTACACATCGGGATTTTCATGTTGTGAGGTAACAGTAGAGTGAGATAATAATGGAACAGGCCAGAATAAATTTTATTTGGAAATGACTAGAGGAAAAGAAATCTCAGTATAGAACTAGGCTCAACTTCAATAAAGACACCTGAGGAATTAGAGTTATGAAGTGGAGGACATCAAGGGGACAGCAGGGTTAACAATGCTGATGTCAAGACAGGGAGTTCAGCTATCAAGACAGGAGAGATTGACACTCTCTCTGGACTGCCAGAAAAGCATTTTTGTGAATGAAGGTCCGCTCAGGCCTAGCAAAGCGCCACAGATGAAGGCCTAGCACAGCTGAGTGCTTAGAGTGTCCCGAGGGGTTTGGTCAAGGAGACAATACTTGGGGTTTGGTCAAGGAGTCAATACTTAGCATCTCCCCCTTTTTGCAGGCTAGTTTTAGCTTATCGCTTCCCAACTTTAGCTCATCTTGGGGGATAGTTTTTCCAGAGATGGATCTGACCTGGAACTTCCACATTCGCCCTTGGATTTGTGAGCTTACATACCAAGAAGTGCTCCCAAGATCAACATTATGGATGCCAGGATCAACTGTGCTCACACCGAAACAGTGGCTTAAAACACGAATTTGAAGGTAGTTGTTATCAGCCAGGCTGATACAATTTTGCTGCGACAAAATTCCCAGGGAGACACCTCAGAGGCGGAGAGTTTAGGGGTTCAGTCCACATTGTTTCTAGGCCAGGGTTAGGTGGCACGTGTGGATACAGCATTGAAGGACAGAGCTGTGTACCGGTGTCCAAGCAGAGAGCAAGGAGGAGGGTCAGGGGACAAAAGTGCATCTTTCCCAGGTATGACCCTAATGACTTCCCTCCTCCTCCTAAGCCCATCTCCTACTTTGCATACCCTCCAATAGCTTCTTATGAGTAAGTTTCCTGTACCACACCCCGATACATGAACCTGTGGAGATATTTTCTTCAGACTATGCTGAGAGTGAATAGCAGGCACTCCTAAACTCCCAAACATGGCTATAATTATTACAAATATATTTTAGGCTTTCCATAGCACTGGCATGTTTTAGGTATTTAAAAGGCATTCGTATTCTCTTGTGTTTCTCACTTCTCTAATGAATCCTTTGAAGCTGAAATACAGGTGACCGGGTTTCACATAAACATCAGAGGGTTCCTGTCCTGTAAGAAGAGAATCTGCTTGTGAGCGCTGTCAAGCTTCTCCAGTGAAATCCACTGGGGAGACTTACCCCTCGGCAGTTACTTTACCAGATTCTCAGCAACCGAGAAGACCACTGCTCAATAGAAAACCATACAGGAAATGCAGCTTTCCTGCAGAAAAGTTGAGAGATGCTGTGAAGTTACCATGGTAACATAACTTCCTCTTTCTCTAAAACCTTGTAGCTACACACTCATTGTCTTTTCAGCTCTTTGGATTTGCCCTTTGCCCGTGCCTAGAAAGACTAACTGGTGCATGATAGAATATTCCACGGACTCAAAAGAAGATGGTGCAGCCATCTTCTGCCAGGTCACCACGATCATCTTGTATTTTTAACCACACTATCGCCTGATATATTCTATTAATGTTTTCTTCCTTATGACCCAGGAATTACACAGGTGCATTACATTTTTAAAATGTTTCTCTGTTTGGGACTGTGGTCCCCCACACCCCAGACCCTGTAAACCACTTGTTTTTCTCTGCTCTGAGCAGCCTGCAGCTGGCTCTGAGCACGAGACCCTGATGGCAGGGGAGTGGTTTCTAGTGGGTCTACAGCTGAAAGATCCCGAGAGCCGGGTCGTGGCCAGAGCCCGAGATAAGCTGACAACAAAGGGGGCATTCTTGTTTCAAGGATGACCCACGTCTCTATCTCTCTGTATTTGTGTGTATTTGTGTGTTTCAATCTCCAGCTCCTTACCCGGCTTGTGAACCGTACCATAGCGCGTAGAATCGGTGCTGTGTTTTACATTTTATCTAATTTTATTTTACATCATTGAGATAAGGTCTCTGTAGCTCAAGCCGGTCTCGAACATGCTATGGGGGCAGGATGACTTTTAGCTCTTGGTTCCCATTTTCTCCAAGTACTAGTATTTCAGGTGCTCACCAACCATAC